ATGTTTGCAGAGGGATTTGGAGGTTTATTTTTTGTGCATTGAATATTTGGAGCATATTATCCACCTAGTTTTGTACAGTCCCACCTTGTTGAAAAATGATTGATATGGAGGTAATGATCGGTAGTGAGGGTTTACCCAGCGGAGTAGAATCACGCAAGTGGAGATAGGAAGTTTCTCTCAGGTGAAGAGAAAGACCATGATTGATTGCTTAAAGATGACTGAGATGAAGAACTTGAGGAGAGAGGTAAAGTACAGGAAGTTGTTGTTCCCTCACAAGAGAGGACAGAAGGAAGGAAAAGACAGGGATGAGAAAAGTTTGCATGGCATACGCGTCTTACAGGGGTACAGACATATGCTACTGACGCCTTCATGTATGAGCACATCCCGCACCAAGTGCGGCCATCAACTGCTATTTCCAACACACCTTTTGCTGGCTTGGGCGAGTGATTCTAGATGACCGCCATCAAAACCAATTTTTACCCTAGATTCTCGGGGCTAGATTCCCGAGCGGAGATTCTGGAGCGGATTTCGGCAGGCCCGAACCTTGTATTAGATCTCGAGCCGCCAGAGCCCGTTCCTTGACGAGCCGAGCCAGCTCGTGAGGGACTCTAGAATGCATATTCTGTATGATGATAAATAAAGGGGGTGCCACCCTTAGAGACGTATTTCAGCTGCGGGGGATGGAGGTTAATAGTTAGGGTTTACCGCATCATATCGGGCGCCTAGGTTCACAGTCTGTCCAGCAATGGGCAGGTCGGACATAGGGAGTCCGAGGACTTGAAAAAAGGACCGACTCTAACCCCCACCTATCCCGTCCAACCCCTACTATAAGACTACCAGACTAGACCGTTGGGAAGAATAGCTTCCTATAGGATCTCCAAGTTGGCAGGAGCCGGGTGTTATCGGACCTAAGATCCCGGAGCAGTGGTAGAACGGTCAAATTGGTTTCCACTCCTTTGAGGTCTCGAACGGCCTGCAATGGCTGGTGGAAACAGTACAACGCCTTTGTTGCATATAGAGTAGCCAGCTCGAATTTTGGGGCCCAAGGCACCCTGTTTCGATCCTGGGGTGAACACCTTTGACTATAGTAAAGTACTTTTAGTGGGATGGCATTTGTGAAACGGCCGCTATCGCATACTGCCAAACTTTGGCTTTTTTGCTCAAGTTTAGGCAGTGTGCGATAGCAGGTGCATCTGCAATCGTCAGTCCATTGTTCGTGGGGAAGGATAAACTGTCCTCTCGCTCCCTGACTTGACTAGTGTTTTCATAAGGGCGGCCCGGCCGTGTGATGGTGGTGGTGGACTTGGTCAGTTGCACGGTCGGCTCGGAGGTGTAGAGAAGTGTGCTGTCTTTCTAAGGAGGGTGACTAGCTAACTAAATATATATGGGCAAATTCGGGAAGAGGCCACAAGAGAGTAAACCCTCACGCTCATCTGCCCGCGCTCGCCGTATCACGAAATTCGCGCGTTCCCGTATATCCTCTACACACGCCCCCGCTCAGCGGTCCCATATCTGCGCTCCTAATACTGTAATACTCTCAGCTGAGATTCTCGTACGGTGACATCACAGTATACCACTATTCCTTTCGTGAGTGGGATATCTTTCTCCTCAGTTGCCCAAAACGACATGGCCACTGAAATGGAGGATGCCATTTTGAATAGCAGTGTATTTTTGTAATTCGAAATGCCTTAATCTTAATGTCTTCAGATATCCCCCCAACTTCCGGAATTGAAGTGGAACTGCGGGAGAACCCCAAGCCAGAACCACACAGTTTTTTTTTATCACCGCCCCCGCCACTATCTTTAGGGATAGGATTGTGTAGTATAGTCTGATTATTGATTCTGATACTCGCATTCGCTACCACCCTCTCCTAGGGCCCTGACCAGGTTACTACTACGTGTTTGTGCATCGCTTCGACGGTCCCCGATATCATCTAAGTATCCTTTATTTAATAGGAATTGGCGCGTAATAGGACACGGGTATTATACGCACCGTCTTCTCACGATACCGATAACTTCTTCTCTAACGTGTCCATCTCCTGTTCATAGCCCACGGCAATATCTAGAAGAGCGTATCTATCCAACCGCTTCTTTAAACTCAGCACCTTCTCCTTTCCAACTCCACAGGCCGGATATTCCCACAAATTCCGAAGTTTCTTAGCGACAGTAAAGCTCACCGCCACACAGATCTTCGTACCAATTTGGGTGTCCATGTCCGCGCCAAAGGCTGGATTCTCAAAGATCCTGGCGAAGATTTCCATAGCCTTGTGGATCTCTGTGAGCTCGACGAGGGAGAGTTGCGCCAAGTCATGTTCGAGGCAGTTGGGCACCCCCCAACCCTGGCGATCTTTCGCGACCTTCTGCGAGTACATGGCGATGCGGTAGAGTGCACGGTCGGCGCGAAAGCGCTCGGATACAGTCGGTGATTCAAAGCGCGCCGATATGAGGGAGAATTTGAAGCCCCTTAGTCGATTACGATTCGCGATCCCTTTGATACGCCCTGCGCCTTGTATCATTTTCTTGATGTCCCCTGCGGAGAGGCTCTCGCCACGAAATGTGAAGAGTGGAGGCTCCCGCGGACTTCCCTTCTCGTCGCCGCCGTCCTCCTCGTCCGATTCTTTGCTATCGATCGCACGCAGGGCTGCGACAGCGTCGGCCCATGGGGCAAATTGTCGCAGGGAAATCTGTCGGCTCACACCCTGGGTGTTTGCCCTCCAGACATTGTAGAAAGTGCTATTCGTGCGAATGAGGGAGAGGAGGTCGCCGAATGTATCAAGTGACTTTAGGAGTGCGGTGAGGACATCGAACGGAAGTGTGAGAAGTTGTAACGGTCGCTCGGACATTGTTGGCTGTTTTGGAGACTGGACTGGACTGGATCGAACCGAATTGAGGGTGAGAGGGGGTTCGAAAGAGATTTATGCCCTTATTTGTCTTGTTGGGAGCTCTTGCAGGGGTGGCTGCTGCCCCTGCATGGCAAAGGTTGGAAAGCCAAGAGTTACGCCTGTGAGCAAGAACTGACCGAAGATGTCACGCTGTGGATTACAGACTGGTCATTTTGGGCTATTAAGTCCGGAAGAGTGCGATTGCTCCATGGTTTGAATGTGTCGGATGTTGCCGATGCACCCCTGACCCAATGGCAAAGGATTCCAACATCCAGGATACATTCGAAACTGTAGTTCCCCGAGGGTACAGTATACCCCTACCGCTACCTCACCCACCATCTTTCAGGATAAGGAGTGGTGCCTCTGCTAATGTATACTTTTCTAGCATACTGGTACCGGTACCGCACGTGAAGATGGTAATTTTTTCAAACCCGCCAAATGCCCCTTTCCACACCGGTTAACACTAAACCCCCGGTTTTGGTGTCTGAGAATGTTCCCTGAACCGAATTTAATACCGGTATTGGGCAACTGGTAGCAGAGTACTACGTTCTCGAGGAAGTCTTGAGACAATCCACTCAGTGTTGTATCGAAGCTGCATCACGCCTATAACTTGTGAGTTAGGCGGGAAAGAAAATACCATAGTTCCGTATGATATGATAGTTAATGCATAACGCTTGAAATTATGGCTTACTTGGGAAACCCCATCCCGAAAAGCAAAATATTTCTACCCGGGCGCTATAATGGCCATTCGTCATAATCCCATGTGTGACAGGTCTGCATCCGTTAAGGAGCGTTGATAACTAGTTGTGGTGAAATGGCATGGTAACTTCGAAGCACTACGCAGTAGAGTGCCCTGGCTTCCCGAGAGTGTGGCATACGGTGGGGGCGGTATAATAAGAGAGGTCATACTATACCTGAATGGTTATGTACTAGTACTACGCTCTTCGTATTACATTCTTCTGATAAAAGCAAATAAAGGGGAAGACGAGTCCCCCCCGCCGCCTTCGGTAACCTTCAATTGGGAGGTGGGGATCGCTGGAGATGCATTCTAGCGATACTCGAGCATATTATTTGCGAGTTCACATCGCGCAAAGGGTGACTGGGAGAGGGATAGGAGTAGATTAGTCTAAAGTGGGGTTAAGTGAATGGACCTGCTCAGAATGGTGGATCAGCAGTACCTGCTATGCGCCCCCCTGTACGTATGCATCTCTGAGGACAATAAATGAGGTTTATGGCGAAGAATGTCCTTACTCTGTGCATGTTATCGGGAGTCCTGGAGCAAGAATTACAATTCCTCATCTTTAGGAAGTGTCACACTGAGCTTGGGTATGATACTGCAATATCCCTAGTCTGTCACGTTCCCGTTAAATGTAGCTGGCGATAGACTCGCTGAGCTTTAAATAGCGTTCCAATGTTGCATGCGAACAAACTCCGAGTGGGTCCATCAGCGTATAGTTTCCGTTGCCATAGTTAAGCTAGGAAAAGCACTCGAAGAAAGACACCCCTTGTCCCCGCAGGGTCTAGGAACCAATCGCACCCTGTGGCTCATGAAAGGGTAGGGCCAGCTAGCTGGCCAACTGCGGGAGATACCCCATGGCATTATTGTCCGTGGGAATTCGCGCCTCGGCCCGCGAAGAACAGACAAAGGGAATCTTACGTTGGGGGGTCTCAGGGACTAGATCTAGGACTAGTCGGGTGTATCGCTCACGCTAGTAGTCAAGGCAGGTGGCGGGTCGCCCTATACAGGAGCCTCTGAACAGTTGAGGGGGAACCAAAAGTTGTGCTAAAAATGTGGGCGATCCCGTTGTGATTTAGTGGATTCCCTGATGTCAGATTTGACGGTTGAGAGACCCCGATTTCAAGCTCAGTGTTGCAATGTATTCAAGCACCTCAGCCGAAATCATGAAGTATCACCCGGTTGGAAACGTGCAACGCGGCCAATTAACAGGTGTTCCGGGGTACTAAAGATAGCATATACTAAAGCAGACCGAACACGGAGATGGTATTCATTATCCAATAGTTCTTGTTTAGCTGGCGGAAGCTGGACGCTCCAACGAAGGTGAGTTTTCTGGAGAAACCGCAAATCTATGAAGCTCGGGTACTGGGGAATTCGTAAGCAATCGGCTGTCTGAGCGGTCGAATAATATTATCATTGATCATTGTGATTTAATACCGTGGCGAGCAAAAGACTCAACTCTTCCGGCTAAATCCGAGGAATAGAAACAAAATCAACGCCCCCAAAAGTACAGCCCAAGCGGGGGAATGACTGTAAAAATGCTTAACCGTCATCAAACGATACAGCAACCCCGATATCACACTCCCGTGTCGATTCCCCTCTTGGCTCCCTCGCTTTATTATCCACAAGACCGAATTCGTCCTCGAGCATCTCGGGGAGCTGCTTTGTTGACAGTTCTAATGAGATAACGCCCTCCAGCTCATAGCTTCCGGTGATACTTGAGCGGTCCATACCAGAGAAATACCTAGATGTTTCCCCTTTCTTCTTATTTCGGTGTATAAGAGCCCTTATTGATGGTGCGCATGCAGCAAAAAAGACTGCCACAAGCTCGCCGAACGACAGAATCTCAACCTTCCGAGTGTTGGCTAGGCTGTTCATCGTGAATTGGTCAATCGGCACTATGTTTACGGCACGCACAGTGGCTGCAACAATAGAAATTGAGCCAAGGAGGAGCAGAAATGAAAGACCCCAGACGTCGCGAAGCTGAAGAGCGTGGAGCCGTAGTATAAGAAAAGGCATGCCCATAACTGGATATCCGTCAGTCATTGACGAAGTGGAAAAACTAGGGCAGACGCGAGCGCACTTAAGAGATCGGTGAAAGCATTAAGAACGGTTGTGTAGATGAAAGTACGCGAGTTAATCATTTGGCATCTAGGGACGATGGCCCCATCGTTAACGGCCCTTTTCGTAGACACGTTAGCTAGAGGTCACTGCAATGGCGCGACCAAGAAACTGCTAGTACAAAAGGGTCAAATATACTTACCAATTCGCCGAGAAAGGCCAGCAAGAAAAAACACTTGTAAGAATTATTACTACGTATGAAACGAAGACGATGGCCGTCATGGCGTATAATAGGTATCTCAGTCGTTTTGAGACGTTGGTGACTACCCCGAAATACATCGATATAAACGCAGCTTTGACCATCCACAAGGAAGAATAGTACATCATTGTTTCAACCACAGCCATCTATTTGCAAGACAACGTTAATCAGAGTGACGGCAGTTATGATATTCACGATGGGATCAAACCAAGATAACCTTACCTTACCGGCTAACTCTTTGAGAGCCTTGGGGAAAAACAAGGCATGCTTGTAGGCCATCTCCCTTTCCGATCTCCATATACAACTAGCAAACCCAACCGTGTAGAACAGCCACGCGATTCCCACACACCCATCGCTAACTCGAACAGACACTCGTGTATACGCTCCAACAAGTGCGTTTACCCAGACTCGGAACGCGACTGCTAAAGTCACAATCGAGAACATAACAGAAACGGAAATGACGACTTCTTTGACACCCGGCTGAGTCGGCATGTGTTCTAACATGTCTTCGGAGCCTAGCACTGTGGGTCAATATCAGCAAGCACCAAGTCCTGTGGCGATAAACAGGAATACCCACCAAAGTACACAAAGTCCCCAGAAACGAAAGTGGTGACTTCCCACAACACCCCAAAGGCAACGGTGAGTAGGATCCGGCTAAAAAGTCAAAGCATCCTTACGATTTACAAGGGGCACCAAAGGGTTTAAAAGAACATCAGGGATACACCGAATATCTCGAACCCTTATAGCGAAGAAATACCGTAGGTAGCGACAGTAAGCCAACACTTCTAATACGGTATGTGCGAGGATAACGGGGCATCAAGCGAGAGCCCCGCAGACATGTGACGTGATTTTTAGTAGTAATCTCAATCATTCTAACTTTATAACCCCGACCCGTAGGTAACATTGACAGCCACCAATTCTCCCGGTAAAGCTTCCGTCCTACGTAATAACTCGGACAGGAATACTCGAGACTACCGTAGGCAACAAGATCAGAAGCCAGTGCTCAGTATTCCGCCCCGATTGTGACCCCCGCTGGAAATAGGGGACTCGTTAATACCGTATGTCCATGCCGTTCCACCCTGGGCATTACGAGTAAGGATTATTTCTATTCGATCGCCCCAGTTGCCGATATAAGCCTTGCACGACGTTCCACGAGCATGAGCGGACTTTGGCCCCGGGATTCTGGTTCTGGAACACCTGTTGGGACGGACCAACTACCTCAAATGGAGTGTTAAGCATTTTCATGGTGGGAAATATTGTAATTAGCGAAATCCATATGGAGGGGGCCAGGATCATCCTTATGCTGCGGGATACACCCTGTCACACTCCCGGATTGATGGAGCAGAGATAAATCATAGGAAGGGTAAGCATCAAAACGCCAATATTCGGTCGCAGATAGAACCGTGAGCCCTTTTTTTCTTCTTCCCCTTTCGTGACCAAACAGCAGTGGTGAATCCAAAACCTCTGGATCTTCTTCTCGCTCCTTGAGGGACGGAAAGCCCAGGTGCCTTTTTGAGCCTACGGTATCACACTTACCGCACACACACAAAGCTTGATTTGCGAACCAACGGTATCGGGATCGGAGTTTCTTTGCTAAGTCTTTCCCGTGCCACATACCAATGCCGGTAAGTGGTGACTCTTGGCATCCATCATAATTTTCCTGCTCCAAACACCGCCTCCCGAACGCACAGACAAGCGTTCTGGTTTCACGATTGTGACGAGTCGCTTCGTTCGGTTCGCTAAGGTACTTATGATGGTCTTTATCGATTTTTTAGTTCCGGCATGCGTGGCGTGTTATCGAGCTCTTGACCGTGATGTGGTGGCGGTCAGTAATTTAAATACGTCTAGTTACCACGGCAGACGGTTGGAAAAAGCTGAGCAAATAAGGAGAGCGCATTCTTATCTTCAGATGTCCGATTGTTCTTGGCAGCGATCACCCGTCCCTGCCAACAGGGGTGCCAAAGAATCTACCGGTACTTGTACTCGTACGCGTACCTGTAAGAGGCGGGCAAACAGTCCTTGTTATTAGGTTGTGGTAGATTCACTCAACCGACCTTCCGGATGGGGTACGCCATGTAGAATAATTTTTGGCGAATCGGTACCGAGTAAGTGCTCTAGGATAGGAACAGATTCCTCAAGAGTAAGCCTTCGCTACGTGACAGGCGAACGAGTGACATATCATGACATGAAACAGCCCCAGACAGCTCGGTGTTTTGGATCTGGGTACTTGAGTCACACGGCCAGAACCCCGCAATCGCGTTCAAATAATGCATTGAAAGGGTTGCATTATTTAGTGGCAAAAGGTTTGATGCACCCTTCAGACTTATCTTTGCTCCAGAAGACACCGACTACTGTACTAGAACATCACAACCCCAGCAAAGGGTGCTAATTATTGCCTCATCTGGATTCCCGGGCCTGAGAGATTGAGACTTCCACCATAAGTGAAGTGAGCGCTTAAAAGCCCTCACCCCGACTAAAATCAACTGATTATGCGGTATCGATTTGCTTTGCGGGCCGAACTTAAGCCCTGGGGCTAGGGGCATATCCAGGTATGATACCGTATTTGCTCGTTAAATCCAGTATCTCAGGACACCCCTCTTATCTCCAAATTCTGTGACAAAAGCTCCTGAGAAGGATTAGCGTTTTCCTGACATGGTATAGGATCAGCCCACTGGATGTGTTAGATCTCGTTAACCGATATTCGCAATTCTGCTAACCCGTCAAACTAAACCCTCTCAGGAGCTCTGACCAGGGATCTGAGATAAGGGGGTATCCTGATATAGTGGATTTAACGAGTAAATACGGTACCATACCACAATGTTGTCCCTTAAGCTACGCAAACATGGGCTTCTTAATAGCCTTAAGGGTAATTATCCTCTCGGCAGTTGTCCTGTTACAAGATTCCCCGCCTGGAACTGGGTGCCACTTCGCCTCGGGTATGATGGCTTGTCACATAATCCATGGTCGTTAGGGGAGCTACAAGCTAGAATAAAATCGAGTGACCTCTTATGACAAGACGTCCAGCCCCCCCCCCTCTTCCTCGATAGTATATCATACACTTCGGGATATGCCGTGCATTTTCTGGTTTAGTTTGTGTATAATTGGTACACCCAGGACTTTTAATACCCCCTTAGGTGCACACACGCTAGCTAAGGCTTTCCTAGCAGAGGCCTTGTATGTCAAGGGAACCATGTATCAACAAATTAGGTACTATTCCTACTGTGGCAAGCTTTTCATGACCGAGGGGGGGGCCTGTTCATTTAGATGTGCTTCGGGTTACCACGAGCATACGGAAACAGTGCTGCTCCCCATGGCTGCTGTATGGTAGGGATTAGGGAAATGGTGATCTAGTGGACACTCACGATATGAGCAAGGTCCCAAAGGGCCTCTCCCCTAGCCCAGAGGGATAGTTCGACCAGGTACTTTCCTTTGCCCACTTGGCTTAATCCATTTCTTTAAGGTTAGAGGACCCTCCGAAAGCACTCCTATACTCTCTAATTTAGGATTACTGAAAATCATATAGAGGAAACCACAAGCTACCCAGATCCCCCCACTCCGAAAGATGCTAATTGATTTTCTATGAGGGAATCACCAGTTGATCTCCTCAGTTGCAGTACTTTAGCAAGTTTTCCAATCTTACCATAGGAACGATTTCTGTCGAAGTTAGCCTTCCAAATGAGTGGGTGCCCGAGCGGCTTGCGGTTTGGTCTGCAGGGATACCGCCACCCTACTATTGTGCGTTAATCCACCCTTTACACATTATCTACAGCATGTGGCCTCATCTTGCCGCCAGGTTGTCGAAACATGTTATGTATGCAATACGTTATATTCCCTCTTAGTAGACAATTATGAGAGTTGGTTCCACTGTGATGGGCTCCTCAGTGACCAAAATCGGCCGCCAACCATGTTACGAGTATGAGAGAACAGAGTGGTATATCGTGTAGGGCCATATACGCAGGGCCGTATCTCTACCGAGACCATGCGAGATGTGAAATTACGTTGCTCAGGTATGAAATAGGTGCATAGCTAACAGGACTAGCTACTTGTAACATATAATACGCAAGATCGGAGCACCCCTATCTTCTACATTTGGTAAAGCTGGTGGCTGGCCACCGGTAAAGCTGACTTTGCGGAATTGCAACGGCTCCCTTTCGAGTTTAGATCTAGATGCGGTTATGGCCTAGGAGTCTGAAAGAGGAAATTCGGAGCAAGCCACCTAATTCCTGTAAGGCATAAGCCATCGCATAGTTGATCTTTATTCTAATCCTGCATGAAATTCTCGGAAACACACTTTTAAATGTCTCTCTTCTGGCATGAGTTCTTGGCATGCCACATTAGGTCCTTTCCATTCCCGAATAATCGTATCGACCATTGTTGCACTCGTACTGGTATTTCTAGAGTTTAAAGCTCCGTGTATCCCAAAATATTCTACAGGGGGTGTTCTCATTTTGGATCTTAGGCTCCATGCCTGATGCGGAAGTCGAGCGGGCCGTAGGGATTCAAACCCGCCAATCCTCAGCGGAAAAGGGGATACCTCCCGCAACTCCCCAGGGATGGTGGGAAATCTGCTTTGGTACCCAATTTGGTCACCTGTGGCTCGGTGGGTGGATCCCGTTGCTACCTAATATCAGGTTGATGTAGGTTGCGGCTTTTGCAACCTCCCTCAAGTCAAGGTATGCTAGATCCCAATACGTAGAGAAAAATGTTCCCAGGGCTGAATTGCATGCAAAAACCCTCGGTATTATTGCTTTAAACAGCTGCGGTGCTGGATAGTCAATACCGCTGTAGTGTTACCACAAGTTGAGACTTTCCTCTCTCCACCGGCGGGCATGCCCACCCAGGGAGCCAAACTACACCAAAGCATTGACAATAGAATCTATGTAGGTGTCCACAGAGCCCTTTTTCCCCGCAATAGCAATAATAGGACTGTGGCTAATCTACTGTGCAGCAGTAATCCCGCGCTCACATCTCACAGCCCACGACAGGGGCAGCTCCAGGAGTACTCTGCTATGTCATACTTGAGAAGACTCTGCCGCGTACCCACAGATACCCTGCAACCACACCGTCCAAAAAAAGGTCCTAAACTGGTGGCGGTAAATACTTTTAAGTTTAGAAAGGGGCACGCGTAAGGTGGGCGGGTTAGATGTATATTAGTCATGGGGGCGCGAATGCAATAGTTTGAATGGGTTCCTTTCTTTTACCCCGGAACGGAGGTTACAAATGGGGCAAGAAACTTCCAAGGACCTATCGGTTATACTGGTGGATGTGTCTATCCTTTTTTTGCATTGTTGAAAGCATATTGATCTTTTAGGTTATTTCGAGTGATGGTTAGTGACCTAATTTCATCATGATTCTGCTTTCTCCAACGCGCCCATCCCAGATTCAGACCAAAAATTAAAGTCAATCGGGCTTTTAAACCAGTGTCAAGTGAGAGCGCTGGCCAGGAATTTGGGGGATGGTTTAACAGCCGTACCTTAAATTTAATATCGCATCGCCCACTGCCACCTGGCATCCAATTGGTTGGCTGAGCTAACCACTGAAGAAAGATAAACCCAGTGACGTTGGACATAATATGACTAGGTGTCTGACAGCTACAAATTGGATTTCTAATAATAAATAAACAAAGCAAATCCGTTTTCCATATTTCTCTAATGCCAATCCCTTCCCCGCTTTCTAGATAAACAAACTAGACTAGGGTACCGAAACCACTAATCCGCCGTTCAACAGAGTTTCAAAAGTGCCTTTCCTCCCACCCCCTTCAGCACCTTTAGGACGTACCCCTTACCAAAACTCTCGCTGATCAAGGATTTCCTAAAGTGATGTGAGATCGTTGGTCTCATAGATGCAAGGACGAAATAATCTGGGTACCCACCAAGAGCGCCAGGCGTACGGTATTATCGGTACCCTCCTCTGGATTCAACCTTCTGATGTGGTTGAGAGCTTTATCCACCACTGCCCGCGTTTTATTCCCCCTGTACAACTTCTTTCCGGTTATTTTAAGTAACTCGCATAGGGTGCGGAGAGAATCAGCTTCTGGGAGGTTCACACGCCCTAGAAGCTCGTTGACACAAACAATTACCACTCCGTCCGGACACAAATCATGTTGGTGAAGCTCTCCGAAGAACAGTGGCATCCTCGGAACTGTAGAGTTAACGAGACCCTGTTCTTTCTTTACTAAAGAATTGCATTTCTCAGATATATAGACTTTGGCTAGATTCGATCCTGAAAGAGGGCGTCTATAACTAGCTTTAATCCCCTTATCGGCAGTGTCTGGGCTTATGAATTTTGTGAGAGATAGGGAAAATTCGGCATAGATCGGCAGACTGAGCCTTCCCGTAACGTGGTCTTCGGTGGTGGGTGCTATTTGGAACATCGTATCGACTACAAATTTCAGTGTTTGTCCTCCCAGTGAACCGTTTACGAGTTCGAGGATCTCTGACAGAAAGGTGGGTATCCGGGGGTGATTGTACGAATGGGCCATAGCAGAAAGTGCGCTCTGAATATAGTGAGTTGATTCTAGATCGCAATATCTATCTCCTAGGGGTTCCAAGGAAGGAACATCTGCTTGTCAGAGCTGCCTAGAGACTAAAATAGAAGCCTGGAATGCGTGTTTAGGGGAACCATACTTGTGTCCAAAATCTCACTTCCCCCATCACCCTCTCGTGCCCTCCAATCTTTTTGAAGAGCCTTGGGTTGGCAAAACCTAGATCTATCCTCTCGGCTGGCCCAGCTGTATCTACGCCCTCCTTTATTACTTGCCAAAACTAGACTTGAAGGCTGCAGTCCATCCCGCCCCACGCTCCAGCGGGTCTCTCGTTTCTCCCGGCTTCTCCGGTTATCTAGCTGCTCCCGTGTGTTCCACTTCCCCGAAGGTCTCCATCTCTCTTGAACGCCGTTCCCCTCTGATTGTCCTCTCTTGTGAATTGGTGTCCATCTCCCTCTACCCCCCTCCTCACCATTTGTTTCACTGCAGGAATGGGGTCTCCCCCCACCCTTATCCCAATCCCCCTCAAAATCTCCACCACAACCTTCGCTTTCATTATTTTTCCTTCTCGCCTCTACCTCATTTTCGTTTTCCGGCAACAGAAGCGACCGCGGACTCTTCTCCTCCCTCCCTTCCTGCCTGAGTAGCACCTCGGTTTCTGCGGATTTGCCAGCTTCTCTGGCCACTTTTTGCTCCATAAACCTCTGTTCCAGAGATCTCCCGTCCGGAAAACTAGTAGGTGGATCTTCTACACCCAAAAATCAGTTAGAAAGCCTCCTAAGATCCCTGTATCAACAACCCCACAGGGGCCCTTACCAAAGAGCTTCTGCCGAGCATTCATTCTTAATGTTAGTCCCCAAAGATCAGAATAAAACAGCGCACGGGTAAGGTCAGGCTAAGAGCCTGTTATTTAAGACTAATCAAAATCTCCAGTTAGGAATTTTACATCAACCGCTACCAAAGAGGATACTCATTTTTCAGGCCGACCATCACGTCGCTCAACGCCCAACTGTGACAGCACCACTCAACAATCCCCACAAAAGCACATACTATAAAGCCCAGCCGCCAAGTCTTAAGTGCCGTACAATCACCCCCGATTCACATGTCCAGAGCTTGAGAAAAGCAAAACCCCTTGCCGTTCCGAAGCTCCCACTTACGGATTCAGCGAATACCGGCCAACCAGATAGCGGAGTATTCCGGTGCCTTCGCTCTCTCAATGCACCGTGAATGCTGTTGCCGAACGGGAAAATACCCTCTACTAGGGGTTAATTGGGGGCCTGAAATTGAGTACCGAAGATTCTTGCAATTCCTTTCATGCGGCTTTGGTGTCGACATGCACGTGCCAGATACTCGTACAAATCCAATTACGGGCTGCCCGATCGCCCGCCCGATTTTGTCATCAAGCTACCAAGCAGACTCTAGAACTACTCATGGCTTCGTATAGGAATTTTCGAATTGATTAAGTGATAGACACCTCAGCTCGCGAGAATAAATCCTTTCCTGTTATGGTACCTAAAACCTAAAGGAACCTAGAACCCTGCCTTTCAGGTATGATGTCATACCGCCGAGATGCACCCGAGCACACCCGCCTCTTCTTTGCAGCTATTGTTCGCTGTAAACTCCCAGGAGTCCGTTTGCTTGTTTAGGAAGGCTTCCAATCCCCACCCCACGTTTTCATGACCAAAGCCAACAAATTATACGACACTATCAGGTACGGCCCCGAACAGAAGGGGATCAGGTTCTACAAAGCTCTTCTCCCGGGATGTTAATGGGCAGAGAAAATTTGACGAGAACCATTACAAGAGGGGTTCGAACCAGCAAGACTGCTATGCCATCCAGAGCTCCGTAAACGGGATACACAATTAAGGCCGGCGACTCAAACGTTAGCATGCCCACCTGTTACCTATTCAACATCAAGGATTGAAGTAGCCCTTTGCTTCGCAGTTCATGCAGGTATCATATCAGCAAACCAATGCTAGTCCGCGCTTTAGAGGCCCACACCACACCGGAAAGAATGAGAGAACAGGAAAGCCCTCACCACGGGATAGCACCGGCATCTACTGTAAAATTACCGGTATCCCATGCTAGCTTTTCCTGTCACTCAATGGGCCTTTCCATAAGTAGATCATCAGAAGGAATCGAGAAAGAACCGAGAAAGAGCCATCCTAAACGCCGCTGCTGTACCAGTGCTCGAGTAGACTTATGATAGGGCATACAGCACTGTAGTACTATTTGGGAAAAACCCATTTTGGACCCTGTTTGGCACGCAAAAAAAACTAAAAAAAAAACTTAGCTCTCCTCACTTATTCTGAGTTTTCCTCACCAAAGCGGAACTTGCATTCGGTGCAGTGGACGGCATGTACTATACAAAATACTATTGGATATTTATTCACAACTCTTCTTTCCTAGCGCCTCACTCACCATTCGTTTATCCCCCCACCTCTCTCTCGGCTCCTATACGGTAGTAAAGCTACAGTAGTGGATTCCGGGTCGGCATCCGTGTACTTACACGAACACTTGGAGCTACAGCGCAAATTTCCAGGCACAGCACAGTACTCTGCCGGCTGCCAACTTCCTCTCCACCTCAGCTTCCTCATTCGGTAACTTGATAGCCGTTTTGTCGTTGAACCCATTACTTTCCCGGGCCCTATCGAGCTTACCCGGTGCCGTTTCAAGCGACAATCAAGTGGGCGCGGCGCCGTCATACGATGGGCTGACCGGCAGGCCTGGAAAATTATTGCGACATAGCGCATCCTTTAAAGCATTTGGTACTGCTGTACAGTAGCCGGCGATTGCGGGATGAAAATCCCTACCATGATCCTTTCCAGTTCGACCGGAATCTTCTCCAATGGGCCGAAAAGTAAGGGGTGGATAGATCCCCGAGCGCCACGCTCAAGTCTCCTTTCCCTACCAGTGGTATGTTGTCCGAACTCTCGCTTTTCATCAAAACGAGTATTAAGTCGGAACTTTCCCTCAGTTCATCGTGTGAATAAACAAACTGTGATGCTAGCCCCGTCTAAAAGACTCTGGAGAGCTGAAGAGCACATCCTATCGTCTAAATACGAAAGGTGGAGGAAGCCACATATTCCTGGGATATTAGATTACCGGTAGTACGGTACTCTGCAGATATACAGAGTTAAAACACTCCAAGCACAAGTAACCAACCTACAAGTCGGCCATCAGTCCCCAACATCACGCCGGATCTACATCCCGTCCCTCTCTCACCAATTCCCTTTCTTTCTTTCTTTCTTTTCCACACACAGTACCATACCCAAAGTTAGAAAAACATTCCCAAATGCCGTCCGGGAAACAATCACCGTATTCACACCCTGCATATAATTCTCCCCCTAAGTTACAACATATACCAGTACTGTACACGAACACTTTACCACAGATACTATCCCTGACCGTTCGTATCGGTCTTCTACCCCCAACTGCCGCCCAAACATTGTATTACCACTCCAGCATGCCTCCCGTCCCGCGCAACGCCCCTAGCGCTTTTCCGGTCCCTCAGGCACACCACGGCTCAAAGCCGACCAGACGGGGATATTTGAGAGGGGTGTGTGGTGGTGGGGTATGATACTCGAGTATAATATTACCGCCACCGCCAGCTATTGCCCCAAATTCGGTACAGCGGTCCGGCGCTCAGAGGTGCCGAGATGGGCAAGTCCGCACCACACGCAAAAAAAAGCATAAACCGTCAAAGTGAATCCCGCGTCACAAGGCGATGTCGTTCCATTTTTGTTTTCTTTCTCCTTTGTTTTTTCCTTCTCGATACCGGTAATGAAGTATTATCATGTGGTAACCTCTCGACCTCGGTTATTACTTTCCGAGTGATTGTTCGTGATTTCTTCTGAAACAGGCTATGATACCGGATAGGTTGTTGATCCCCCGGGAAGATAAATCGTGATCTCAGGATACAGAGCTTTAGCTTACAGTCATAAATGCTTATATATTTATTTTATTTTTATGCTTGCTTCCTCTCCTGGGATTAGATAGATAGAGAATTAAGAGCGTGAAACGAAGGCTCGTATTACACCCCTCTCCCGCGTCCATCCACAGGACGTGCGAAAGCCCGGTTACTGTGCTGGAAGTGCACTTGCTGGGAGCGGCACCGGTAGGTTCGCCACTAAATTAACCTACAATGCCACTAGTATAATTAATTTATTACGGTAACCGATCCAGTTGGTGCGAATGGAGTAAATCAGGCGCTGTCGATAAGAAAGACATAGCGACAAACAAACCCCGCTATAATTCCACCGGCCTCGGGAGTACAAGTTATGGGGAAAACAGGAGTGTTTGTATACATGCCACAAAGTGAACGTAGCTTGACCCTTTGGAAATCACCGTACGTGGCTTCATTCCTTCATACACTTCGATTATAACTAGGGAGTGGGGGGGGCATCTATGAAGAGCCCTCGCCGTAAATTTGGATCATTAAACCACCAGAACACACCATCCACAGAGCTCCCGAAACATGAGGAAACTTCTATGATACAATCGCTGTCGGCGAGGTGGTCCTCTCTAGGAACCCCCAACACGATATACAAGTCGCAGCAAGTGTTGATGATGATTTTATTTTATTTCCCCCTCTCAACAAGCGGATTTTAGTTCCCCGACCTGCAGACATGGGAGGATGCCCGACAACCTTGAAAAGATGAGGATTGAGTAGCATATGAGGAGGAGGGTTCTCCCCTCAGGAAAGGGAGAAGTCAGATCCACAACATCTCCATCAGCAACGCCGTGGACGAGTTGTGTGCAGTACTTAAAAACCAAAATTTTGTCCACCTTCCCTCCCATACGCGCCATGCGTAAACACTCCCGTCTTACATCTCCATCTCCAGCTAAAGTGTTCTTTTGTACCGACCCGGCGAAGTGCGTCTGGTAAGTTTACGGTATAGCATTGCACTCTTCTATCACATCGTAGCTATGTAAACCTACCGTCCGAACCTCACACAGTACGGATTGTTTGGCGAGGAGACAGACCCAAAAAATAGCAAAAAATGGCCTTCGAGTGACCACTATTGCACTGATTCTGCTATAACAGGGTCCAACCATCATTGGAAAATAGCTAACTTAGGTGACTGAAATGCACCATACAATTCCCGCCGATTCCTCACCCGCCGGATGCAAAAAGTGGGAGGCATTTGGGGTAATCGTGGCCTGCGGCAATTTATCTTTCCCCAGAAAAAAAAAAACCTCCCCACGGCGGGCACGATACCACAGGGCTGCGAAAAAAAGCACTGACCACCGCCCCCTCGTTCATTCGGAAAAGTAATCTAAAAAGCTTATATCTCAATTTCCTTTTGCGGTAAGCCTGTTCAATTTTGGCGGGTCAAAAAAAATCCCGAATTCTGATGTATTTGACCACAGTTTCCTGAGTGATACTACGTGATCACTCCCAGACTAGCAGCAATACATAAAGAACCGAACGGAGAAGAGAGCATTCAAAGCTAACAGAACAGACGCGAGTCCCGTCGTATTCTAATCCCCGACACGCAGAAGGCCAATTGTTCTCGACCATTCGGACGCTGTCAGCGCGATCTTGCTATCGCTACTACGGGAAGGAAGGGTACACGATATGTAGGTGACACTCACGATTGCCTATTTTCCAGGAACGGGAAGGCGATACACCCCCCAGAAGGGGAAGAAGAAAGAAGCATTAGTGGGGAAGGGTTCCCGACGAGACCATTCGTTGGAAAGGTACGGATATCGTGGATCCGAGTAATCTTTCTAGAACCTGGGGTCCCTTTCGGAGAAAACCTATGGAACACCTTTTCCCTTCTTTGCTTCCTTCCTATTCCCCGTGGAGAATATGAATATGCTTTGCATGAATGTGAGTTAACGGGGGGGGGGGATGGGAGGTTCTCACACGTTCTCCGTTCAAGGGCCATGGAACAATTCATGTCGCCGCGCTGCAGGGTTTGTGATACTAAAGAACAAGTCCTCAGAATCCCTCCCCCGATTCCCGAGCACCCCTTCTTTTTTCTCTTCCCATCCGGAACTTTCCCTATCGTTTCGTTTCAAGAAATATTCCTCAGCTTCACACCTAATGTCCCTCCTCAGTCTCCCGAACGAACTTCTCTTGCTGATAGCAGAAGAACTAAACCCCAAGGATCTAAAACGTTTCCTAGAGACCAACAGCAACCTAGCAACCCTATTCACCCCCGTCCTGCACAAGCACGCCCTCCGTGACAAGACCGTCCTCCTCTGGGCCGCGGCCAGAGGCCAAAAGCCCCTCGTCAAACTCCTCCTGGAGAAAGGCACGGACGTAAACCTCCAAGCTGGAAAATTGCTACGCACCCCGCTGCACGAAGCCTGCCACAACGGGCGCACGAGCGCAGTGAACCTCCTCCTATCCGCCGGCGCCGACGTCTCCGTCCCAGACATCCACGGCGACACACCACTACACCTCTCCACACCTCACGTCAAAATCGCCCAAGCGCTGCTCGACAGTGGGGCAAGCATCAACGCCCAGAGCTCCTACTGGAACGAGACAGCCCTACACAAAGCCATTGACGCCGGCGCCGAAGAGACGGTCGAGATACTGCTGAGTCGGGGAGCGAGGGTCGACCTCAGAGGGTACTACGACATGACGGTTCTACACCTGGCTGCTGTCAGCGGGAGCAGGCGCATTCTGGAATTGCTCTTGGGGAACGGTGCAGATGGCTTTCTGGAGGAGAGAGATATGGAGGGGGAGACACCGCTGCACAGGGCTATTCGACATGGCTTTCGGGGCATGGTCGCTTTACTGCTCGACCGGGGAGCTGACGTCTCCGCACAGAATTATATCGGGGTTATGGCTCGGCATACACGGCAGGATAGGGTTCAAGGGAGGGAGGGGATTGAGGAGTTGCTGGTTAGGGCGGTGAGGAGGAGGGGTTGATAGGGTGTACTCGAGTGCCGTATGATATTAGCGGGGATTGGCGTTAGAGGCGTAAACACACGTGCATGAGCTTTCGGAGTTTGGGTAACATAATATCAGTTCTTTTTTTTTTTTTTCTTTTTTTTTTCTTCTCTTTTTCCCGCATGCTTCCAATCAACGCAGCACCGGACAAATGGCGACAACCCAAACACCAGCTACGGTAGGTTTACACAGACTCAGCCAAATCCCTACCCCTACGCTACTGTACCATTCGAAAACTCTTCATAACCACGCTATCACCTTAAATTCACATGTGCTCGAGAATGATACCCGTAGCTGTGACTAACCCGTGTCTCCCCTACACCGAAGGGGGGGGGGCCAAATTTCCCCCACAATACGGTATCATGCATGGCGCCAAGTTAGAGATAAACTATTTGGATTAGTAATACTAGCATGTGATTCTAAACCCCGTTAGCACAGTATGATACAATACATGAGGATCCAAATCTTCAAGGGCAGCAGAGCGCGCGGACGGCAAGTCTTCCCCGAATACGATTGTCCGAAAACAATACACTGGCTTAAATTTCGGGCGTGGTTCGGGGCGGGGGGGATTCGGCGTCATCAGCCCTGCGTCGTACCGTACTGTACAGCACATATCATAGGGAGAAACGGTAGAGTAATGCATTGGCGCACCAACGAAAGGATGGTCACGACTAACTTACTGGTGTAGTGCACACATATATATGGACGGTTGGCAGAGTGGTTTTTTTAGAATTCTTTTCAAGCAGTTCGATAAGTTATGACCGTGCAACGATCCTTCATCACAGTATGATAAAACTTTGTACGATATCATATGATACCCCCTAAAGGGGAAAAAAAAAAAGAAACCCAAACAGAAACCCTCACCTCACAGCGCAGCTCAAATCCAATCCCCACAGGCTGATCTTAACCGCCCAAGACACACCGTCAAAGTCGCAACACGAGTGACACTTTGTGACCCTTCTATGCTGATCTCCTTCGGCCGCCAAATACAAATTTATTACTGATGGCACCACCCGTAAATATTCTTATCTCCCGCAGATCACCCCATACCCCATACTTGTACTGTACGGTACTCGAGTACCGCACACCTTTCCTCTACCCGCATGAGTACTCGAGTACAGTACACGCGCAGTCCCCAGCAAGTGAAAAAGAAAAGAAAAGAAAAAGTCTCCATGGGTCGGGTTAATCACCCCAGGCCGACCGGGCACCCCCATCCGGATGAATGAAAATGCTGATTGGGCTTTGCATGAGGAGACGAGCGGTGATCATTGCAGTTGCCGCAGTTCATACAAGCAAACCACTGGAAAGATTCTTATTTGGGTTTAGCTACCTGGGTGAGGGGGGCTTCCGGATGGTCTGGGAGGGCTGTCTACCTTATCATATCATATATCATATCACATCAAATCCACAAAACCCAAGTGAATCCAAAAAATACTTTACAGTAGCTAGCCCAACATTGGGTACTTAGGCACGTACTATACCAAACCAAAACACCTCAACCTGCCAGCCCTGGCTAGTATGATAAGTAAATTAGTATATACGCCAATTTCCCACCGCACGCATTCATGCTCCGTTTGCAAAAAAAATGAAAAACCGGGGGAAGGGAAAAAATATATTAAATAATTTGAAAATTCGAGCGAGTTTTTTTTTAACGTAAGGTATGCAGCGACTAGGCACAGTAAGAGCAAGAGTAGGAACAGGAAGGAGATAAAAAAAAAGTACATCGTCCATAGCAAAATTCAATCAAGGTTGTTTTTCCTAAAAAAACAGGACCATAGATAAATGCCCGTGCCATACGGAAGAAAAAAAAGAATAACCCAAACCAGAAGAATGATTGAAAGAAGCCGGGGAGAAAAATAAAAGAGAGGGGGAAAAGGTCACAGCAAGCAAGCAAGACACTAAACATATACCCCTCGCACAAAACTATGTAATGCAATTCTTCCAAAGACACAGCAATGGAATTCGAGAATTGGAGAAAGGAAGAGCATAAAACTAGGTGCGAATTTCAGAAAAGTTCCACCTGCCACGTCACGAACAAACAAGAAAAAGAAGCCTTTGCTCTCCTTTCCAAAAGGATCAGGCTACCAGAAACCACCCTTCCTGCCTTCACCCGATGCCATTTCCGGATTCTCAGAGACCCAACGCTCAACGTACTTCCTCACAACACCCTTCCTATCCGCCTTGACCTGAGCTTCCGACGTATTGGTATAGAGTGCAAGCTCCGCATCGTACTTTGCCGCGATAGATTCATAGTTCAAGCTCAAGTATACCATCAAAGCGTTGACAAACTCTTCCGTGACTTCGACATCGTTATCGCCCTTTCGTCGAGGGGGGAGAGATGCGACGGTGTATCCGGGAGAGGGGGCCATAGGAGTGTATATCACACGGGAAGGTGCTATTCTCGGGCCCCCGAGAAATTGCTTGTTCGACTCGGATGATGGGAGGGAGTCTGGTGGAGTTGGAAGCTGGGTATTCACGTTCGCAGTGCCGATATTGAGGGGCGCGGGGCCATCAAACTCGTCAGTCGGAATACGAGAGCTGTTGAATCCACCGCGCTCCTCGGTCTGTTCCTCCTTCTTACCCCAAGGAACCGCGAATTTTCCATGCACGGGAGAATGACAGATGGGATAATCATCTACCGCCTTTTCGTCGGAAGCCCGCCTCGGCTGGGGATGTTTGATCTCCAATACGCCATCTGTGATTGCAGATGTAAACTTAGGGCGGACAGTTTCGGATCTCTCGCTTCTAATCCCGCTAGCGTCCGTTGCAACCTTGGTCCGTTTGTCCCCACTCCACTTATCCTCGGTAACAACCGGAAAGGGGCATTCCACCTCCTCTTTCGTCCGCTCGCGCTTGATCCCTGCACTCCCGACCACCCCCTCTTTTAGAAGATCTTTCCCCAAGCCAAGAATATATGGACCAAACCCGTCCCCCCTGGAGCCCCGCCTGGCAGCCTTGGCACCAACAGTTTTGTTCAACTTATTAGAAGTCTCCCATGTAGAACTAGCTGTAGATGAAGTAGGCGAAGTGCTAAGACTAGGGCATCGAGATTGTTCTGGGCTACCGGCCGGGCTCGGAGGTGCTGAATCGACAGGCTCGTGGAGATGCGAAACGTGATCATTAGGACGAGCCCAAACTTTCCTCATAACGCGTCTCTCCCTTTCCGGATCTCTCGCAAAAGCACCTGATGTAGGGTACAAGCCCGGGGTGTTGGGCTTAGTGGTGCTACTCCTCCGCAAGTAGTGGTGACCACTGTGGCTAGACAGCGCCGCAGGCTGGGGTGCATTTTCTGGCTCCATCACCAGGTGCATTTCCGGCTGAGGCACCCGAACGCGATTGGATCGCCGAGAAGTCTCAACAAGTTGAGGAATCAAGGGTCGTGCTGAGATAGGCCTGTGAGAACGCCTTGTAGTCTCGTAGGGCTGAGGGACAATATTAGGTCCGAAGAAAGAAGCTGTCGGAGTCGGCAGATCCTGTTCGGCTCCCTGGACAGGAGTTGCGGTTGGCCGGTTGGATCTCCTAGTCGTTTCTTCCGGTCGAGGAAGAGTCGACTCCTGTGACTTCCGTGGGCGATGGGATCTCAGCGAAGATCCTATTAGCTCCGGCAGTACTTCTGTAGAGACGGGCTTAGTATCGTCCTTTCCATCCTTGTTGTCCGAACATCCCCCGCTTCCTCTGCTCACTAGGGGGCCCTTCCTATTGCTCCTTCTCACAGTTTCAATCGGCTGAGGAAGTCCCATCCAAACGCTCTCTTCACTCCCCACTTTCGCCTTTTCAGGACGCCTATTGCTTCTGCGAGTAGTCTCAATCGGCTGAGGAAGGAATGGGTGAGAGGGCGCATAACTGGTATTGTTGTCTGGAAGGTTGGGTCTGTGGTTGGCATTTGGACGATTGCTCCTCTGGGCCGTTTCCTGCGGTAAAGGAATGGGTAAAAACACCTTCCCCCTTCGACCCGATGGTCTGACCCGTTGTTCTCCCTGATTACCCCTAAATTCACCGGCCTTCTTAGAATGTGCTGCAAGTCTCTTTCTCCTGGCCTCTTCATCCTCCTTCCTCTTCCTCTCTGCCTCCTCGTCTGCCTTCTTCTGTTCTTCCGTCCTTGTATCCCCCTGCACAACATAGTCATTGGCATTCAAACAGGCGGCGCTCGATTTGGCCTCTGGCTTTCTAGAGAGCTTAGTCCGGATGGTTGGCTCGACCCGCGGTGGCGGAGGTGCTGGTACGGGGAACCCTAAAACAGACCCCAACCACATAATCTCATCCAAGCTCTTATTCACCTTGGGCTGATACAGCTGTGCTCTCCCATCATCAATGCTATTTTTTTTGCTGCTAGAAAAGCTATTCTGCTTGGAGTGATGAACGGAAGCAGCGCCGACAGTAGGAATCTGGGGAGGTGTGCTAGGCTGGTTTTTCGGCGCTTTGGATCGGAAATGTGGTTCATTAGTGTTTGGGTGAGGTTTCCAGATGGAAACTCCTTCAGTGGCTTTTGGAGCCTGTGGGAAAAATGGAGCAAAGTAGGAAGGCGCCTCTTTCGGAATCTGCTGTTTTGGAACAGCGTTTTGTAAAGGGTTTAGAGGCATCGCAACTGATTCCGCGTTCGAATGCTTGCAGATCGGAGGCGAATTGAAAGTTTGTTTGAGCACCTGTGTAATTGTTTCGCAAATTTGCTGCTGCTGTTGTTGTTGTTCTTGCTGTTCTTTCTAAAAAGCTGGGTGTTGAAGGGTAAACTCCGCAGAACCTTTCAGCCAGCGGCCAGCCGAAACAAAGTGGGAGGAGCTCAGGTAATAAGCTAGAGCAAATCCGGGGTAGGAGACCGGGTGTCACAATGGGATCTGCTAGGATGCGAACAGATGAACGTTTCTGCCAACCACACTAGCAACACGTCAGAAAGAAATTAAAAACTAAAGTTGAGCATTTTGAAAGATGTAAAAAAAGTTATGCAAGCAGGAGGGGGTAATTGCTATGACGAAAGTAACTCGTCAAACCCTTGAGGCGCGACTTTCAAAAGAAAAAAATTAGTACCCAAGGCGAACCTACCCGTTCGAGCACTAGCAAAAGTCTTCCCAATCAGGAACACGAATGACGCTGGTCGGGGAAGTGTGTGTCCTAGTTTCCTGTAAGAGTTTCCTTGTGGGCAGATGACCGTTTGTAGGTAGGGATGCGCTCAATTCGTGCCCGAAGAAATTCGACAAGGGACCAAGCAACGAAAGAGTACCGGTAGCTTTGTCAGCCTTGCTAGCCCTTGCAAACGAGACCAAGGGCAGGTGCACAGTGGGGGGCTCTGCACTTGCTTTTTTTGATCGCTGTGTCCCTTGGAGAGGGAAGCCACAACTAAGAAGAAAACTTTTAAGGCGATAGAAATTGGCCACCCTTTGGAAAAGCGGTAGAAGAATGGAGGATGCTAGTGCACTGCAGTAGAAATCGAGGAAAAGATTGGGGGATCCGGTTTTTCCTTTAACAAACTGGACAGTACCGGTACAGGAAAGAAAAATTTAAAAAATTCCTTATGCTATCCTGTGAAACGTCGGTAGAGTCCTAATTCTTCCACAGGTTCTATCGGCCCTTATCCGACAAACAGAGTCGATGAGGGGTGGAATAAATGGAGCCGCTAGCGCAATCCCGACGATATGAAACTTCGAGTAACACGAAAGAGGGGATTATCCAGTGTGAAGGAGCTGTCCTTACTCGACTCTGCAGACTATTACTGCTGTGTTTTCCCGTTTTTTCCAATGAGCAGCTAAATTGTGTGGTGCCAGATAGGCAGTATGATATAACAAACTTTTTCCGGAGCGCGTTGATAGGGTTGCGGTGGATGAGTGACGAATCTATAGACGATAGAGGAATTCCACCCCTAGGCTCTCCAAGCGGTATAGATAGCACACGGTGGATTGATGAATTTATGTTTTTCTTTTTTCCTTTTTTTTTGGCTTTTCAGAGGGGGAAGAAGGATCCACCCAACACGTTCTCGAAATTCGGGAGAGCAATACTCTAGATCATCCGCAGTCGGTGGCAAGTTAGGCAAAAGAACACACAACGATACCACCAATAACAGGTTGATGGCACGGAGCAGGAAGTCGAGTAGCGGAAGAAAATCAAAGATTCGGAAAGGGTGGGAGGGGGTGGTGCATGAGTGTGTATGGTAGATGCAGTAGATGAACGGATCGAGAAGCGCAGCAAGCAAGCAGTGCCGGTACGGCACTATACCAGTAGGAACGATATCGTATTGTATGTAAATTTAAAGCACTGTGCAGAAAGCAGGAGTTGAAGGAAAGAAAGACACACAACACATACCTTGATTGAGGGGCAAGCACGAACACAGAACCGGCACTCGAGTAACAGAATGAAGGAAAAGAAAAGAAAAGGTGGCAGTGGGTGAGGGAGTAGAGATGGAGATGGGGAGATGGGATGAGGAAGGGTCGACAAGACAACCAGTATGAGCGCTGCGAGCGGAGGAGAGCGATGACACAGGGACGACAACGACAGAGAGAAAATATGTATGATACGAGCAAGTTATCAACCACAGACACGAGTAGCACCGATACGCGTAATAACCCAAGCACAGTGGTAAGCCGTAATTCAATCGCTGTTCATTGTCATCTCTACCTCGATGTCCGCACTGGGTGTTCTCGGTCGTGGATCCCGCTTGCTTCTGCTCAGTTGCCGCTGTTGCTCCTGCCGCCTCACCTAGCCTGCTAGTTGGGGTAAAGCGAGTGTCTATCGGCACCGCTACCGGTATGCGGAAAGGGAGGACAAGAGAAAGTGTACCGGTACTCGAGTATAGCCCGAGGCGGGAAGGGGAAGTGAACAAATTCTCCTACCCTAAGCTACTTTATGAGTTCCAATTACTCCTATCGGGGGTTGTGGATAAACACCTACTCGTGCAATGCCGGCGGTGGAGATCTGGAGTCGAGAATGATGGCAGCAGTGCTTGCACCATACGAGATATCATGGAAGACTGGACTGACGATTACCGTACTCTGCACGAGATGCAAGATAGCACCAGCCGGATCACGGCTCAGTACCGTACTCGTACACCCGGGTGTAGTGCATCTGAGACATATACGGCACAGCAGAAGCACGGGTGTGGGGGGGTTAGATCGCGATTTGAAAGAAAGCTCAATAATAATCCACTCGAGTATCCAGAGGCTGCAAGGAACCCTTGGGCCGTTGATATTTGTCCGCCCACCGTTATGGGCTAAGTTATCATAATTCCTCTTATAGAGTGCGGGTACGGTACTGGTACAGTACGGTACATCTCTGGCTTCGGGCACCCCCCGCACTTGATGCTGGTATGCACGTCTACCGTAGCAGTGCTCAGAACGGCCATTTCACCCCCTGGGCACGCTAAGGGATGAGAGCCGGGAGACTCCTCAGGCGGGGAGACTGAGCGCAACCCAATCCAGACTTCCCTCCTAATTCGGCAACGCCAAACTGCCTCCTTTCCCAAAAGGGCACTGCAACAAACATTTCGGACAGTGTTGCTTACAGTTCACTGTGGATAACTTATTTCCACCACAGAATCAAGAATTAAGAATACGGATACCATTACTTCTGTGGACATAGAGGGCCTCTTGGAAGCTTCTTTTTTTGTTGAAAAATATCAGTTGTGCAGCGATTGATTTCCTGTATGTGGAGTGTCGCTTTCTCCAATACCAGTACGGTATTTTCCAAGTCTCTTGTTATGCGCACGGACTCCTCGCCTGAGGAGTCTCCGAGAGAGCCAGCTCTATTTCTCTCCAGTTGCCACTCTGCCCTCCATCCACTCCCTTTCCCCGCTTGTCTCCACCGTACGCCGTACGAGTACCGTATCTTCCCCTCCTTCCTTTCCCCGGCAACACGCCCGCCACGACCTTGCTTAGGTACAAGTACCGTTAACTTCCTACGACCAACAGGACACCACAATATACGAGTATCATACCCCACACACCGCAAAAAGCATCCTGTTTCTCACGCACGACAGACAACGATAAAAATAAAAATAAAAATAAAAATCATATACCAATGATGCAGGCTCGGTGCACGCCTAAGCTCTCTCCTACTGTCCCGGTGTCCTCCTCTCTGACCTCCTTTACAAAAATTCGATGGCAATATTCTATTTGCGCACCCAATTCAGTCGCGCCATGACCTCACAAATTGTGTCGTTTGGTCCCCACGGATCGCACAAGCATGAAAAAAAAATATTGCAACTATCGGAACCGCCCGTCTTCCCACCCAGCATCTTCAAGCGCATCCAGTGAAAGCGTCTACGCATGGTGCCGGACCTCCCTCTCACAGCTCTGGGCCGCTTCCGCACCCAGACAGCACCCCCGTACGAGTACGGTACATTTGCAGGACTAAATCATTCGCCCCATTTCCATTCCTCCGTGTGGTGGGAAGGCTACCAAATAATCACAGGTACCGGATTGTACAGTATTTTCTAGATACAAACGAACCACACCGCTAGGAGAAATGGAAACCTCCCCCCTCCCGGCCACGCGCCCCCTCGTCTCAGATGACAATCACCAAAAGGTTAACGTAACCGTTGTTTACTCGCACGAATGCCCGCGCAGCCCGAATCCTGCGTGCCTACCTGTACTTGAGTACGGTATGCACGCCTAGATCACCACCCCACCGCATGGTATCGCTCTAACCCAGCAAATCAGGCATGTTGTTTGTGAAAATCAAAGCCCGGTTTGGTTTCACGTCCGGGTGCGAGTACTGTACTTGCTGCACGGTATGAGTACGGTACTTGTATGCATCCGCCTGTATCTCCCCCACTCCGCGATACCCTATTCGTCACGTTAGAGCATGGCCGTATAGCCATGAGTTACATCACCGTGAGCTTCCTTTGTGGAAACGAGGCGAATACCCGTGACTACCGTACCGGCATCCAATTTGTAACTCTGTGGTTTCCCTGTGTCTCTTGTTCCATGCGGTACCGGTACCGGTACTTGTAGATACGGTGGTTAGGCGTATCATACGGCAATCTGCCACAGCAGCGAAACACCCCTCCCCCACAACCCCGGGAACCAGGAAAATGAAACACCGGCGCCCCCAAGGCTCCAAGTGGCAGGCGAACGCGACAACGTGACACCGCATTGATTCTCCGTCCCTTCCCCAGAACAACGCAAAATTTATTTTTGTATTGTTGTCCTTCCGGGCGGGAAGTTTTTTTTTCCTTCTTCCCTTTCTCACCCCACATCTTTACGCACATTCCGTGCTACAGAACTGAAGTTACGCAGGGAAAAAAAAGGAGGAAGGAAGAAAAAAACAGGAGAAAAATCTTCACTCACACAAATGCCACACGCTCTATTGTGCGCGATGCTTTGTGCGAGTTATCTTCGAAAGCTAGCTTCATGGAGAGGAATCTTCATCTCGCTCGAGAGTTCGCCACGCTTTACCGGTATCGGCATGTGAAAACTCCCACCAGCCCCTCATGAGGGGAAATGCACTCGCAGAAATATGATACTATCTAGGGGATTGCCCAGGTTTATTTCCGTGATACCGAGAGTTAGATGCCCGGTAGCTTGGAACCGAATTTACTTCCTATCAAAGGTGATCTGGTTGTCACATACAGTTTTTGATACGGTAAGTACTTTATCCCTCCTGCTGCCGTGTTGTAGAGTCGTACAGTACGCCGTGGCGAACTACTGGCGGTCCCGCCCCTACCTCCTCTATCTCCTTTAATCACTCACAGCCACAGCCAATGGTCTCCCTGCAGCGGCCCTGACATGATGCTTCCAGAACATTCCCCGGATGAAGCTCGCCAATTGCCAACCGCTTTCTTATTCTCCGAGCTCATGCGCGTGTGCAGCACAAGCAGTCTGTACTGAGATTTGTTTGTTTGCAGTTGATATTTGAATGAGTGTGTTGGATGCGGTGAAATTAATTGAGCAGCTGTCGGAGGAGCGCCGTAGGCTTATCATACCTTTGAAAATTTCCTCACCACAACAACGGTGGGGTGGTATTGCGCCGGGGTTCGTCCTCTCTCCCATATCTTGTGAGTGAAAAAGATAAGGTGGAGCACTGATGACACCATCCGCAGCCCTTTGCCGATACCCCACCGCTAACTGTCACAGCGGGGGTAGGCCTGAATCTCGTCGCGGTTGGTGGTTAGTATGATAGGATAAGCGTACAGTACTGTATCTCCAGCGGAACCCGGGTGACGTTTCGGCCTCTAGGAAATCGGAGATAATATTCGAGTGACGTTCCATGACCACCCATCTTCAAGGAAGGTGGGATGGCGGTAGGGCTGAGGTCTAGATCTGAAGATATGAAAATAGCGCTGTGGGGCAAGAGGTTCTTGGTGGGGTAGGATTCCGGCACTTGTGGGTGGGTGGTGCTGGAGGAAGAGACTCATGTGGGGATCTTGCGGTGTTACTAGTTTGGTGTTATGGTGGACAACCCAATACAGAATTGGGGGGGTGCACGGCTTGTAAGGAAAGCTAGGGGTCTATGATATCTGTAGCCACATGATTGGCTCTCGATTTTTTTTTAAGTTGGGATACGTAATCCGTGATCGGCCTTGATGTTTGATTTGCCCGAACGACAGAATACCGGTAGGCAGACACAATAGACAACCCCATAGTGCTTGTGCAACATTAGTCCCTTTTTACTCGAGCAAGGTAATTTACACATCCCCTGACTAACGCAAAACCAACAACACCCCGCCACCCCGCAACTGCCCTCCGCATCCCCGTCCCGCCCCTCCCCTCCCCCCTCCAACTACCCAGCAACCCAAGAATGCCAATCAAAGCCAGCCAATAACTCCCTCCAGCAGCACATCCCCAGCATCCCCAATCACCCAGAGCCACACCTTACTTCTTTGCCCCACCCCCCCTCCCACTAAATTCCCGCGAACCACTGGTAAGATGCTGCGCTGGTACTACAAATCTCCCTCATTCTTTCACTTGCAATGAGTGATGCGCCATGAACATACAGCAGGAGTGCAGATTGTGGCACGAGTAGATTAGCAGCGGCGGGTGTCAACATGATTGCTCGGTGAGTGGTTGGGGGTGGGGGTTGTCTTTGGGGTTGATAAGGTACGAGTATATGGTAGAGCACCAGCAGGTGTCTTTTGAGTGAGGTGTATGGCGTTCTGGGAGTAGGGGGGTGCGGTGGTGACGGGGACACTTGGTGCTTGTATTGTACGGTACGGCTAGTTAAGTTAGGAGGTACTGGTTGGCTGATGTGGTTCGTTCTGCACCCGTACTGATGAGTGCGTCCTTGGTGATCTGTAGTAATTGTAGGAGTATGGAATCCCACAGTGTCAACCATGTCTCTCATTTTTTTTTTGGAGGGGGGGTTTTTGTTAAATTCATCACTAATAATCACTCGGATTGCACGCCGCAAATTGGTGGGATGACTGCAAAATATGACGAAAGTGCATTAGAAATGAAAATGTTGGAACTTGTGTTACTGTATGTAGATACCTCTCATGGGTGTAAAGTACCATAGCCTCAGGTACTAGACAGGAACCGGGAGATTTTCGATTGAATAGCAATCTGTTCTTGCATTGTCTACCATACGCTCTGAATGTTTTTTTGTTTTTCCTTCCCCACATCCCCAGCTCCCACACCTGACACATCTCATTTCTACAAATACAGATTGTTCCTGGCTGAGAGCTTTTTCTTAGGTTTGGTGATAGGGATTGTGTGAAGACTTTGATCGGCTATATAAGGAATCTGAGATATCCGGGATTATCTGCAGGAGGGGGTCTAACCCGAGCAGGAATATTATCGGTCGAGGCATCGATATCTGGGTACGGTACTCGAGTAGCATATTTCACGTTGCGGTTCTGGGCGTGTATTGATATCATACTGTAGACGTTTGTCAACCATACAACCATGTCCATCCAAGCCCAGGCGACAAACTCCACCAAGAGGGTTGACGAACCTCGCACGGCACGCAACAGCTCTCATGCAACCCAGTTGAAGCCGGACGCCCACCCAAAGCGGCAATTCCCATCCCGAGAGGCCGACTTCAGCTAGGACGCTCTATCCGCAAACTCTGTGCTGGGTCGAGATGTATACGGCCAGCTTTGGTTGGATTTGACAGACTGATTTGACTCGAATAATCGAGTGGCCTGGATGGAAGCGCGGTGTCAGATTACCCGTCCCATGGGGCGCCTGAATTCCGGCTGATACTCGCTGATGCCATACCATACCACGCATATTTTTTTTATACAAAGTGCCCAACGCTGGGCGAGGACAGCCCAAGAACACATGGTCGTAAAGGAATTGAATCCTGGCTATTATATGATACTTCCTGCCCTTCTAGGAAAACTTGGCGCCAGCCAGCCAGAGGCACCCCTTTAGTAGTGGGGCTGAAAACTCCGGCAACTTCTGCCAGAGTTTCAGGACTTCCTGCAACTGCTCCTATTGTATAGACCATATATTATCTGTTGACATACCGGTATCGCAACTATTCATATAATGGCTAACTTGCTTTCCTTTTTGAGAAAGTATATATTGATTTTGTGCTGAAGAGTCAGCACGTCTGTGTTCTTTCCAGCTGTATTTTCAAATTAATCTGGACAGAATTTTTATATATATTTAATTTTTGCACTATTTTTCACTTTTCCCTCCTGTACCCGTCGATCCGCAAGACAAGGCAGTAACAGAAACGTGCGGGGGAAGCAATGGACTGTAGCACTATGGAATCTTGCCTGAAATACTGCTCAGATGCTCACGAGATCGCCTGGGATAGACTAGTAAACCATGATACCAGACACGCAAGCCCAATGCTATAGTGTCATGAGATAAAAGAGGAAATCTGGTGAAAGATACTACGAGTAATGCCAGCAACACACAAAACACCCTATTAATAAAGCAAAAAGCAAAAGGCCAAAAGCTAAACACGAGCACCAGAATGATAACCTGACACCGCCTCGTGCAAACGGACAAACCACACTGTTGTACTTATAGCGCGGAGAAAACAAAAAACACTCAGCCAATCATCGGATCGTTAAATTCCCACATATATGCGCTCCGGAAGTGGCCGCTCCCAGAACAATCCCACAAAGGCACAACTACTTCCCAAAAAAGCTTGTAATCTTCTGGCTTCCCTTATCTTTTCCCCTCCCTTTCGCCGGCGTGGCTTTCTTATTCGTCCCAGCCTTCACGCTCACCGGCGTATTCGCGACCGAGCTCCTAGTCCTGGGGCCCAACGGACTGGACAAGAGCCGCTCCTCCATCTCTAATTTCCTGGCCAACTCCTCGTCGCCTTCCTCTTCTGGTCGATCTAGCCTTGCCAACTTTCTGGCAAGTTCTTCATCCCCACCTTCCAACCTTTCTCTCTTTGTGGAGGCGGCCCCTGCAGAGGGAGATGGGAGTGGGGATTGTGAGGACGAGGGGGATTCTGTTTTGAAGGGGATATGAGGAGTTAAGCTCGCTCCGGGAGCGTCCTTCCCCCCCTTTCGGGATTTTTGACTCGGGGAAGGAGCTGCCTTCTTGGGCGTCACAAAGAAGCTTTTCATTGGCTTTTTCAAAGTCCCTGGTTTCTGGGCCGAGCTTTGGGGGCGGGAGGCCTCGGATGCTTCTAGCTTCACAGCGCTTCCAGTGATTTCGACGTCATCGTCATCTCTTGGTTCCTCCTCCTTCGGCCTGGCCTCGGACCTGATGTCCTTTTTTGGCGTGATGAAGAAGTTTTTGATGTTGGACTTGTTCTCGGCTGAGTCTACCGGGATGATGAAACTGGGGGAATCAAGGGCAACTTTTCCCACGTCTTTGGAAACAGGGTAAACTTCTAGGGCGCCTTGATAGGGTTTCAGGAGGGACTGGAGAGTTGAATTCCAGGTTTTGGTTTTTGGGGATAGCCATGGGATGACTTCGGCTGTTGTCACTCAGTTAGCTATGTACGCGAGGTGCGGGGGGGTTGGAGGTGGACATGGTTCTAGTATGGCTGGCATGCGCTCGTGCAGGAATGATAGCTGTTCGTTGGATTCGGTAGTGATGATTGTGTATGTATATAGTTTCTCTCGACTCCCTGCACATGGGCATTAATACCACCACCACGCTTTTGGTGTCTTCGAGCTAGGGCGTGTGCATACCTTCATACTGTACACAGTCCCACAGTCCCGCAAAAAGCATCATCTCCCCATCCTTTCTCTTGATAAAATGCGGAATCTTCTCCTTCCCTTTGTGCAGCCATTCATAAAAACCCAACGCCACGACGATACACCGTTTACTATTCTTCATGCTCCAGAGTGGTTTATTCTCAGCAAGGCTGTCGGAGCGACAATTTATCGTTTTCAACAAACCCGGATAATTCGGCGGTGAGGTACTCCACGACGGTATTAACCCTATCTCGCCTCGTATGGTAAGCTACCTTGCTCAGCAAGGATGTCTTGGGCGGGCGTGGACAAACCCCATTTCATATATTCAAGAACGTACACCACTCCGGGCTCCCCAAGAGTAGCATCTTCCGACGCTTCCTCTGGCGTATTCCCTGGACCACCTGGAAGTGCCCGATACACCAACTGGTAGTTCCCCGGCGCAACGTTGAAATGCCTGCGGATATCGCCGTTGGCTTCCTCCTCGGGCGGTGCCTGGCGTACGGGTAACCCGTTGCGCTGAAATTGTTCACGAACGTGACCGGGCCCGTCACCGACGGCGTATCTGTGAATTGGAGTGTGAGAAACGTTCCGGTTAAGGGGAGAGAGGGGCGGGTGTTTTAATCGTACCTTCCGCACATTGTTTGTACGAGTACTGCAGCGTGGCGGCGTGATTTCGCGTGAGGCGTTTGGGAGAATCTGGAGGATGGCGGGGGAGACGTGTCTTATCCTGAGGGGTGATGTCATTCAGCTTTGGCTTGGCGGGTGCGGTCGACTCATCGCTCGATCCGGCACTCGTGTCTCCTCGTCAAGAGTTGGCGCTCTTTTTGTAATCCGGCACTGGTGGACTACGGTACAAGTGCCAGGGATAAAGTTTTCGTACGGGACAGGGTTTATTTTGCGGGTTAACCCAAATTAACTGTTCGGATACTTTATCCCTATGCCTTGTACTCGTACCGTTAGACTATTCTTGTTCGCAAGGTCCCAGTGGAAGGAGAGGTAGCATGTCAGGGTCTTGGCGGCAACGGGAGTGTACATGTACTTGTACCGGTATCTACTGTACCCGTAAAGTGCGAGTAGACTACAGTACGGTACTTGTACTGTATGATACCGTAGCTGCCAGACCACGGGCCCTTGGGAGGGGCGGGCCGGTGCAGAATTATGGATAACTTTTAAGTGATACTCCTTAAGGGACCGGCATTATTGGGGCGAAAGAGTACGGTGGGTTCTATAAGGCGGCTCTTTCGTCGTATATCGTGTTTTCGAAATTCGTAGAGGAGGCCGGTGACATTTACTATATGGTAAGACCTTGGTCCGGTCCTTATAGAGCGAGTGTTTGGGCTTTGGGAACTGCTTGTGATGTATATAGTACGGTACTTTTATCAAGGTGGAACAGGGAAATGGACCTCCGAAGCATAAATAACATCTTGGCATCGAGCTCTACTCGTCGACGCTACGAGTAGAACCTAGTTAATTATCCTATCACAAGGAAATAGAACCCGAATCTAAAGCTTCGCCGCAACCTTCCTCCTATTCCTCGCCGCATCCACAATGATCGCGACATGATGGCTGATCGCGACAATTCCGCCCTGCTCATCAAAGATGTCAACCGTGATGTCCATCCTCCCATTCTCAATGACCTTGCTCTCGACCCTGCGGAACAGCACGTCCCACCCGCCAGCCTCAGGCGCCCTCTTCACCTCGATCGACAAAGCAAGCGTTGGGTACCAATACGCCCCGCTTATCTCGGCGTAGTTCTCTGGCAGCGGGAGAAACATGTCGCTAAGATAGCCCAATGAGGCGATCGAGAATTTCGATCCGTCGGCCATTCTAACCCATTGCTCGCGAATGCTCGGGGAGTTATCTTTGTCACTTCCAAAGTGGCTGTCAGGTGCAGCCTTATAATGCAACTTGTTAGTGACGGGGCGGGTATCGCGGAGTGGGTCGCCCTTGGTCGTATCCCACAGCCCATTGGTGAGGGGTGGCGGTGGGCGAGGGGGCACGGTTCTTAGCGTGGGGCCGTTCTGGTGCTCGGTCATGTGCGTGAATGCGATGTTTGCTTCTAGGCGGGGAACGTCCTGGTAGAGCGTTACCCGGAGAAAGGTGTATTGCCGCCCGGTCTTGAGAGCTGCCGCAACGAGCTTCGCTGGTCCGGGGGCGCACCGGGAGAGAAAGGTTACGGCGGTGTGGATTGGATGTGGTTGGTTCAGCCTTGACAGCCGAGGATGGGTGGTCATGTGCTTCGTCCCTACAGCGAGCAGGAGCGAGGTCAAGTATCCACCATGTGGAACTATACTCTCTCATCAGCGACAGCGGAGAAATCGGGTCCCGGGGAGGTACAAACCGAAGCCGATGCACCAATCCCTTGGCAGCATGGCCGAGTATTCGCCAGCTTTCGTACTGATGGTGCCCGTCGCGGTAGCCTCATCGAAAGAGGAGTATTTGAAATCGGTCTCGAAAATAGGTTTGTTGGGCAACAATGTCATTCCTGGCGTTTTGCAGCAGTTTCTTGCGGCGCTGGTCAGGGAAGTACTGCACTGAGCGACAGCGAGCGCGGGGATGATATCTACTTGAGTACGCGTTGGGTGGGCGTCGGGCGTTGATTAGCTAACCGAGGTTCTGGAAAAGTGAAGATTCAAGTACTTGTAACTTGTAATTGAACCTTGTGCTATTATACCCGTAAGCAGTTGATTTCGGAGGAACCAAGCTTTGAGCGCAGGTCAGGTATGATTCCACCGTGAACGCCCTTTCGATCTCGCTATCCCCGTCAGGTCGCTAATCGCAAAATTTGGAGTCAAAAGTTCCTGGGAGGGATGGCGATGGGGGGGGTTTAGCTAAGTTACTGTAGGATCAAGAAGGGTTGGGACATGCCAAGAAACATTTTGCGAGAGCCGGTATTCGAGTATGTTGAGTATGATATGTCAACGATGAAGTAGGAGAATAGGATGTACTCGTAACTTGGATTATATAAAAGATGGAACTGATGCAATACGATGTATGATATTAGGTCCTGATAATCTGTCGCTTTTACGGTGGCTATGCCGGTGTCACTCTCATGATAGGTTTACAAAGCTACTTTATGTGATGAGCTTCCCACAATACCGGTATGGTAGTTGGTAGTATCGGACTTCCACTGATATCCCAGAGAGTGCTGCGGCCAACCTGCCATTTGAGTCTTGCGGCCGCCGTACTCTGTCACGAGTGAAACAAACGGAGTCCTGTATGACGGTAGAGTAGGAAGGATACCCTATTGTGGGTGGGAGGAGGGAGTCTTGAACGCCTGCTCTGGCCTGCGGGAATGATGCCATATTATTATTATTATACGTTTGGATTGTGGGTAGAGCTTGGTCCTTGCTCTCGAGGGAAATCGCCGATAAGGAAATTCTGCTGTCATTACCCCTGGGCGGGTCCTTGCCCTTATGTTTGCTTTCTGGAACTGTTAGGTCTTCCGACGATATTCTCTGCACCCTATATATTTTCTCCACCACCCATCATGATTCCCCGTATTTTCATTCTAGCCATCAACTCTTCCTCCCTCCGCAACCTCAACAAAGCAACAGAATGTCGCTTGATCCTGGGTCTTGGGTTAGGGACTTTCTTCTCGAGGACAAGTCTCACAATGCCGACAGGTCGCTGGTGATCAACAAAAATCCCGATGGCTTCACCTATCCAGCCGGTGAAGCTCCGTTCGAACTCCTTTTCCGTCATAATCCAATTCTCTATAGCCTCCTCCCTCTCCTCCCGACACCTTCAATTGTGTCTATGTTTTTCGTCTCCAAGTCCACGAGGAGTCTTCTGGCAGATATGACTCCTTTCTTTCGGAATTTGGCCTTTGTGCCTGAATCCAATCCCGTAAAGTGGGTCCACAACTCGGCCGTCCAACACGCTCCCAAAGACGTCCCCAATCCCCTCCAACGGGCCTTTGTTGATTTCCAGGAGCGGAGGGAGAGGGAGAGAATTAACGTCAAAGAGGCCGAAGAGATGATTGGTCGGTATCTGAGCGACACACTCGACGGCACAAGTCTTATGCCTCAACAGATATATATCGAGAAGTACGAGTCGGCAAAGTATCATTTCTACCGGCGCCTAAGGGGTAGACATCTATGCAGGATGATTGAGACCTTTCCTGTTGGGAGACGCTTGACAACATTGATCATCGATGGGAGTGGTGTTGATACTGATAGCTTGAAGCTCATCTTGTCCAAGGTGGAGGGGACTTTACGTGGTGTTAGCGCGAAGTGGTGCAGGCACATTGAATGTTATATGTGGTCGGAATGGATTTTGGAAGCAATGTACAGGTCCAGTCCGTTTGCGCTCCAGTGGCTAAACGTACGCTATCCGATGTCTCTAAGAAGTGAGAGTGCTAAGCTAACTTTCGTCTAGATTTACGGATCCGGAAATACACCGACGTCTGATTTTAGGTGGGACAGACACCCGGATCAATTGATTCCACTCCGTCGACACCCGAACGATCTGAGGATCCCCGGAGAGCTTCCTGCGACGCTCTCAAATTGGAGGCCAAAGCCAAATCTTTTCGCAAACTTGATACCTTTTGAGGTTCACCGCGACCACACGATGGCACTTCTAGCACCACAGAATCTCAATAACTTCGGCCTGGGAGGTTTCTTGCATGCGAATCGCCACAATATTAGTTTGCAAAGGGACGCTTTCGTGAGGTCCCATCCTCGGCCAGCTCTTTGGGACCCTCCTCAAAACTCTGCTCTGCACGATCCACATCCGCTCATTGCCCTTCTGTCCGTTGCTAAGTTCAGAAATATTGAACTAGATATAAGCTATTGTATGAACGGAAGGAGGTGTTACAGTTTCTTATACAGCAGACCGACGTCTACGGGTGCTATTCAGGTTCATCCGGGAGATTCGCCTGCGGTTACCATTTTCGATGCCTTGAGTGGGATTCCGACTCAATTTACACCTACCTATGATATATTGGGTGAAGGGTTGGGGCTACATACTCATTGCGCAGCAGAGGTTGGGAAGAGGAGGGAGGATGGTGGTGGGGCTTGTGTGAATTGTGGAATGTGGGAGGACAGGCTTGCCGAGGGTGAACACCGGGGGACCACTCCAGTGAGAAATGTGGGAGGGGTTCTAACTGGAGACTCCATTGGTATTGGCAGAATTTCGGTTGGGAATCTTTGCTTGGAGTGCACTACTAATATGACTTGTATTTCCTGCAATGCGTATGCCGAACCCCCATCAAACCGAGAGTCTGTCAGTTACTGGAAGCTTATTCAGGTGTTGTTAGATTCTACTGCAACTCATGTCTCTTCCGAAGCGTACCACCACTGCCGCGTATTCCAACAGCAGTGGAACTTCCGGACCCGGAATTCCTTCAAATGATTTGCAGTCGGAACATCCATGGGCCCTACTGTCGAGACTGCGTGGAAATGCACACCGAAACTTGTATTGACTGTGGTGAAAGAGTGTGTTCAGGATGTCTTGCACCCGATGGTGTAGATATTTCTACAAATACCTTTGGTAGAACTCTCGACTTTGGTTCAAGCTATGGTGTCATTTACCATGCGCAGCAGGAGCGTCCTGGAAATTGTGGTGGATGGGATGAGGCGCTCCTTGAAGATGGGGATGAGATGACCCACTGCGTTGAAACTGACAGTGACTCCGAAGCCGAAGGTGATATCAGCGCTAGGGGCGGTCCCGACCACTACGGAGATGAGGACAGGGAGGGGTCAGTGGTGTACGCCCACCAGCTTAGTATGAGTTCAGGGAGTGGGGAGGAGGAGCATACTACAGGTTCATTTTCAACTTCTTGGTGCTCTCCTAGCTCGTTCAGGAGGAATTGGAGGCCTGAGGATCCTACCGAATTAGATACTGGCTCAGAGCCTAACCGTTTCCCTCTACCTTTGCGTTTCCGCCAGATGATCCATGACCCGCGCATCATTATCAGCACACGCATGGTAGAGAAATGCGATGGCTGTGAGGACCTCCTCTGTTCATTTTGTCTGAACTACGACGCGGATCTAGGTACCGACCTTTATGAAGCCACAGAGTATCAGTCATGTGCCGGCGAGTGTGGATTACGCATCTGCAAGCCCTGTCTGCATGGAGAAGAGTTTGTGAGGGTGTGGTGCTACGAGAAGTGTGGCGCTTGGCTTTGTTTTCTGTGCACCACCGGGAGGAGAGACGTGGCCTTCATGTGCCACCCTGGTGGTAGGGGGGAGAGGTGGGGATGGGGCCGTGGAGAATTTCTACCTTTCATGTGGTGGACTTGCAGGTATCGTGGGAATCTAGATTGCGGTTCTGAAGATGAGGACTAGGACAACAGTGGGTTTTTCTGAGACGCTACAGCTAAAGCCAACCACAGACCCGTGGGTGGTAATATGTTTCGGAATTAGTGGCTCGAGAGGGAACCTGGGTTGGTGATGGATTAACATTAGGGAGGATGGAATGTTAAAGGCCACCAGAACTCTTGTATAAATTTCCTGTATTGTTTGTGTGTCCCAAATCGTGTGCCGCATTTTTAGGTAGAACTTAATTGAAAACGGAGCAATCATGGGTTTAAAACGTATAGAGGAGCTTCTGATAGAGGGAGAGAAAGGGGGAATAGTAAGAGCTCACCTAAGTTATAGAGGTTCTTTCTGACCTTGTATAAAGATTTTGAGAAGGGTATATATACCCTGGCTGAGGTGACAACATGTCGCAGCACAAGCAACACTTTTCCATTATTTTAATCGTCAGTCCCTGTCCACTAACTATATTTTCCAACTCAGAGACGCAAATCAGTCTGCTTCTTAAACGTTATACAACCCGTTTTGCGTGATAAGCTAATATAATATATGTGAAACCTTGACACCCACAATGCTCAGAGTTTCAACAAGCACCCCCCCATCCCCAATTCATTATATACATATCGACCAAACTTGAAAGCCAGCTCCACCTCTATCAAAATCGCTACGCAGTCCATACAGCACTCAACTAAACAATACAATGTTTCTGGCTAACACACTTCGCAGACAAACTATGAGACTGGGCAAAGAAAAACAGCCAGTAGCAAGAGAAAGAGATGAGGACATCTGGGGGATTGAGAGAGCGAATAAATACACCATAGGACAACCGCTACCATGACCGCCCGCCGCGACGTCAGCAAGCGCGGAAACTGGCATAGATGATGATAACTCCTCCCTATATCTTGACGGTGCCAACGCTAATTACCACTGCCGGAGTCTTAGAGGGAGAGAGAGAGCAATTCTGCACCGTGATGGCCACCGATATACTAAATCTCTTGCTCACGATGAAAATTTTGCAGCGCAGGGACTATATAGCATGTCTCGGTTACCGGGAGTGCCATTAAAACGGATGGATGGTGGTCGGTGATTTTCGAGTTTATCGATAAATTGGGATGTTTTCTCTTTTAAATTTATTTATCTATTTCAACTACCCTGACTGTAACGAACATTTTTATTTTTTTTATTTTTAAAGAGCCGATAGAGCCGGAAGGGGTGATGGTCCCATGTAACGAATGTCCCGAGATTTTAAAATCGGCGGAAATTCACTGGATGTTAAAGATATTATAATAGTGGCCTTAGGGGGTGGGAGTGGAAGACAGATATTCATCAAGACCACTCTATTGATAGCCCCCCAATCTCTCCATAGCGGAACCTGATCCTTCCTATATACACAATGGAGCTTTATTCTGTGGTATGTGGAAGTTGAGGTTTAGCCTCTATTAAGAACCCGTCATTATATATCACTCGGTTCAGTAGCAGTATTGTATGTATGTATGTAGGAGATATTGCATGTGACGGAAGTATTGTGTGTTCAGAAGTGGAATATCAGGACTCATGTCGTTGTATAGGGATATACTTGTCTATGGGTATAAGTACTGCAGTGTGGGGCACGGGTATTAAAGACGATACGAGAAGAACCTCAATCTCTCGGGCTCAGAATTATCATACTGCTCATAGCTCATCCATCCTATAAGCCCTTGCCTTCACTCTGCTCTCTCAACCCGCCCGCTGCTCTTCCGGCATTGTGGCGGTCTAGATGAGCTCCCGTCCACTACGGGTATGATATGACGAGATGTTTTTTTCTATTGTAATACTCTCTAGGAAACTCATTCCATCCGAGGCTACTGCTGACCCGGGGGGGGTCTCCCTTATGCTCCTTGATAATCGGCACCTTTGGTGGTGGGCTGTTAGGATGAAACTCTGGAATGTTGGGTTTGCAGCCGGAACGAGCAAACCCCAGTTGACATGATTGATGACCGCCTAATGTAGTTTGTGGGAGCACTACTAGAGATGCGATCCCGGATGAAATCACCTAGGGCATTCGGCCATGCCAAGGGGAAGATTTGAGGGGGGCTCTCTAACTATAGGAGAGCCTCGGGGTGTTTCCCAAGATCTTTTCGTAGTTCCAGCACGTGTCCAACTGGGTTGGCGTATCCTACGAGCTTCTGGTGGGCCATCCAGCGGAGTCTCTTCAATCGCCTTCCATCCTTGGAAAGATTTGTTGAGAAATGGCTTAACACTAGCAGAAGCCCCCACCCCCTCCGGCTAGTTAAAAGGACAAAAAAAGTCAACTTCGTGGGAGGCAGGGAACTAGCCAACAAGGAGCAATTGGGTTAATGTTAGAGGATAGCGTTCTTGAGATTGATAACGTTTCCCCCCGGGCTGGATCGTCCCTGTTACGCCATAGCACTCCTCCTGTATCAGGGCCTAGACATGATACAGTAGATGTGGTACCCGCCCCTAGGAGGGCCGAGAGTAGTTATCATAGAATACTATATTCAGCGGTAAATTATTTTGCTATCGAGAAGAGGGGTATACTTATATATCCGGCTTGAATTACCCATGTTGATCAATCGTTGATATGAAGGCTCCTCAAACACCCTCAGGACGACGTTAGCAGCATAGATAATTCCTATCCCATCTGAGCATATTTACACCCCATCCGCAAAGAGAGGCAGATCTCAAGGAAAATACATGACCCCTCCGCACAAATAACCACTCCTCCAAAATTCCTCTTCAATCAAGAGATATCAGGGGCCACCCCCACCCCCACCCAAATCCTCTTTCACCCCCATCCCTTCCACTCTTAACCTTGTATGTTGCACCCGGCTCAGAGTTCGCGAGGTTGCACGAACCCCGACAACATTCAGATCCACCAATTTCTGAAACCTAGTAACCCTAGAAACGGTATCCCGGAGAAGGACCTTGGCCGGCAAAGGAATTGGTGACGGCTCCCTCCGCGACGGTGGTGTGGATGGAGGCGATGGTGGGGGCGATGTGGGGGGTGATGACGGGGTGTCGTTTATAGATACGTATGCGAGTTTCTCCTCGGCAGTCTGCTGGGAGGAGGAACACCTGGCTTTGAGAAATTCCAACATGGGTTTCCGGGACTTTCTTGTCGGTGTTGGCGGAGATGAGCTGGGGTGGATGAGATGTATACCCAGCGGATTCGGCAGGGTCCCGGTGGTGAGGTTAATGGGGGAGGGGGGTGGGTGAGGTTTTCTAGACGTCGCTGGCTAGGGCTTGAGGAAACTTGTGTGGTGGGGTAGGTGAGCCACGAGCAATGATTGTGGTTTCGGAAATGGATACTGTGGCCACTTGGCATACGGTAAGTGGGATGACTACCACTACTTCCGGTATAGTTTGTAGCTCTATGTTCACGAGTGCATCTAACCACGAATTCTCTGTCCAGAAACCGTTCTCGAGGGAGTACTCTCTTCACTTCTTCTATTCTTCTCCTTCACTAATATCCGGTTACCTTTTTTCAGCCTCTTGAAATGATGGAGGCGCCTTTCACCCGCACTTTCGCTCCATCCGCTCTCACAGTTGGGTTCTGGGTGGGGGTATATGAATGGGATATCATGGATCCCGCTTGAAAAAAACGAGGAACCCGCTATCACTCAATGGGGATCATTGTAGAGATGAGACTTGTGGGTGTCACGGCGCATGGTGCGCCGGCCAAAGTTCCGGGTCTCCCCGAACCTCCTCGGTGATTTTTACAGTGGGCCGTTCCATCCTATCCTCTGTCAGTCTATCTTTCTCTGATGCGGTTTTGGGGTCTATGGCAAGAAAGGTAGGGAAATCGCTCATTTAAAGAAACGCTCTTTCCTCAACTGGACCAGTGGGGCTTGGAGGACAATTAAGGAGCTAATCACGAGCCCTGGTCCAAGCGGGAGCTTATACCCTTTCTGAAAGGCCCACCGGCCGTGTCAGTCCTGGGAATAGGACTTGTTGAAGTCTCTGAATCGAGTGACTTTTCATGAATCTAGGACACCTTATGCCAAAGTGGACAAAAAACGAAAGGCGAAAGACGGGTATGGTGCCTCCAAGCGGAAGAGGGAGCAGGGGAAGATTCGTTTTGTGGCCAAGGTAGGG